AGAGCCCTTGGGAGGTCCCCAAGGGCAACCCCCATCTCAGTCACACCATGACCAACCCCCTACTTACCCAATCCCCCATCAGGGCTTTGTGAAGGCAGGACTCAAAACCCTTCCAGGGAGGGAGCCTCCACCCACCCCTTTCCTAGGGAACCCCATTCTAGCAGTCCACCACCCTCCTGGGACAATAGCACGAGAATGCCATACCTGCATGAGCACAGCCCCGACCATCGATCTCCACATGCCTGCAATGAGCTGTGGAGGACCTGTTCCTGCGGGGCCACGAGGGCAGCCTGCAGTAACTACAGCAGGAGGTGCGACATGGGGTCTAAGAGCTGTCGATTGCTTGGAGGCAAGTCCAGCTCCATGACTGGAGTGATGTGGTGTCCGTAAGGGCAAACAGAGTAGGCAATGAAAAGGCTTTGCTATCCCTCAAGGAGGTAGTCAAAGAAGATGAGCCTGAGACACAGGTGTACAGGGGTTCCTTTAAGCTTGAGCCTCTGCTAGCCTCAGCCAGCAGCTCCAGGAAGTGACTGCTGCCTTGATGCCCTGCCTGGAGTGCTTCTGGGTGGCTTTAAATGCAATTCAGCGTCCAATGAGTGTGGACACTCTATTTTGAAATAGCTCAGCGCTATTTCGATGAGCGTTTGCTGTGTAGCTGCACTATTTCTAAATAAACTATCTCAGAGTTTATATTCCGAAATGGCTTATTTTGAAATAAGCATGCAGTGTAGACATATCCCTAAATCACTGTCCAGGTTGCAAGAAATCCCAATGTTTTAAGGTATGGAAACCCAGAATTAAGATACCCAACAACCTTAATTCTGCCCTGTAATGACATAATGCAATCACTTTTATTACAATTCACGTATTTTAGTATTTGTGGCCCCTATTAAATTGAATTGTTTAAAGAAACATTAATTTTCTCTTCATGGCATCACTACAGGACAGAGTTAAGGTTACTTGGGTGCCTTGACTGTGCATTTACCTTCATAATTTTGGATTTCTTTTCAGTGTACATTTCCTGGTTGTGTAACACATACTGTAGGATACTTAACATATGCTTATAATGTTTTTTTTTTAAACTTTAAATTACTGCTTAATTCCATCCAATGTTTTGCCTGGAAATTTTCTTAGTTTTTTTAAATTAAATGTCCATCCAATAACACTGAACAAGAAACCCACAGGAAATTCTACTAGGTGATACTACTAATGATATGAACATTTGTCTGAATTCCAGATAATTTTAAAAATAACTTTTAAGGACAGATTCACCAATATGGGTACTAAAGAGACACAAAAAAACTAGAGTACACCAGCCAGTTAAGATGTATCATGCGAGCAGCGAAAACAGCCAAAGCATATTGGTGAACCTGGCTCTTAATTTGCAATCAATTTATTGGTCTACAGAGGGCTGTATGAGTGATACCGGTAAAAGGGAGACCCCACTTATTAGTTAGGCGCTCACAACTACACTTTTGCTATAGTTCTCCTGCAGTGTTGCCTCAGTGTGCTGTGGCACTCCAGCTGCAACATCACAAAGAAGCTTTCAAGCACTGATGCCTAGGCTAGTTTCAGTCACAGGATCTTTAAAGAGAAGTCTAGCCATGTTAGTCTGTAAAAACAATGAGCTGTCCTGTGGCCCCTTAGAGACTAATACATTTATTAAGTCATTAGCTTTTGTGAGTAAAACCCTCTTTGTAAGAAGAGTTGGAGTGGAAATTACAGATTCAGGGGTATCTATAACAGCAAAGAAAGTTATTTGTTAATTGTAGGACCAGTGTTAATTAAACTAATTAAGTCAGGGTGGATGTGTGTCAATCACAGCATTTGATGTGGAGATACAAATATCAAAGGTGGGGAAATTGCCTTTGTAGTGCATTAAGCAGTTAAAATCATTTTTCAAGCCTAAATTGACAGTGTTGAACTTGTAAATGAACTCCAGTTTAGCTGTCTCTTTCTGTAATCAGATGATACATTCTTTTGTAGAAGGATGGCTACTTTTAAATCCATCTTTCAACCTCCCTGGACATTCAATAATGGATTTAAAAGTAGCCATCCTTTCTGAAAATGTAGCCTATGTATAAGATTTAAATTAGTATTAGCTAGACAAAAGGTATGAAGTATTTATGTTACTCTATAAAGTGCTACCAGATTATTTGCAGTTTTTCACTGTAATCTATAAACTAACTAGAAGACTTACCCAGAATTGCCTGGGTGCTTCAGGGTAAGGGGCTAATGATGAGGGAGGGCCATGAGTCAGGATAGGGCTTTGGGGATGTGTAGTGTAGGACAAGAGGCTGGGGGTGTGAGAGAGGGTTGCGATGTGAGAAGTGGCTCAGGATGGGGGGTCCCATCTACCAGAGCTTTCACTCATCCCTTAGGTCTTTCCTCCCCTCCCCTCCTCCTTCTCCAGCTGCCAGGGGCCTTTTATCTCCCCCGAATCCCATGGATTCCAAGTGCCTTTTATCTTATCTTCTTTAGGGGGCCTCCGATAAAATGGTCTCTTAAGAGTAGAAATCTTCCTTTACATCCTCATTGGCATCCATTGTTGTTGCACAGCTGCTCACAATAGTTACCTGTCGTTCTTTGGTGAGCCGCAATTGGAGTGTCATAAGCCGCTCATTGATGCCTTCTGGCAGCTCAGAGAGGCACCTTATGAGCTTATTATTAATAGCAAAGCCTACTCCATACAATCGAGGTTCATCTAAAGATTTTCCCTTCCAGAAGTAAGTGTATCCTCCTTTCTCCTCCCTCACCTTCATCAGCTCTTCTGGATTTGGACAAGGCAGCAATATCAATATTAAACCGATTCAATTCATGAGCAATGATAGCTTTGGTCAGTCATTGTCTGAGTTGTCCATCAGGGTATGTACATTCCAGGTTCGAAAGTTGAAAAGTTTATTATATTATTCTTACATTATTATTTCTTACAATATTAAATTTAATATTCTCATAACACAAGTACTTTTCACTGATGTCACAATTTTTATCCAAATATTAAAAAGCATTTTACATTAGTTGTGGCTCTTACTACATTTAAAAGGCAGCGCTGCAGCAGTCCTGGAACTGGCATGAACCGGGACTGCTCACTCCTGGCTCACGCTGACCCTGGGAGCTAACCTCCTTATCGACTAATTGAGTAATCAATGGAAATTCCATTAGATACTGGATTAGCTTATTAACTGCCACCTAGCATCCTTACCTGGAGCCAAAAGTGGTGACTTACTCAGCATCACCAAGTCCATCTAAAAAATACAACCCAGCTCTCAAATGCTAGAGTACCCCTTCCCCATTTTTGTAGACCTCTAAATTAGTAACTGTCTATTTTAAATATCTAATTTACTTTTTTTTTTGCTTTTATTTTCTGCAATTTGTTCAGTTCAGAGAAGAAAGACTAGTCAGTTTAAGTTTCTTCCTTCTTATGTATGATGTGTTATGATGTCAAACAAAAGAAATACAGGCACTTTCTTTCTAGATTATTGTTATGTTACATCAAGGAAATCAAAGACATAATTATGTGTTTGGGAGTCAGAAATCAAAGTCTTTCTCTCACTTGGTAAGATACACAATCTTGAATCTCCTTAGCCCTGCTCCCAGTAGAGGACAAGTAGTCTTTAATTCTAAGGATGCAATATACAAAAACCAAAATCATAGCTATAGAGCCTACAAATCATTTTACAATGCTCCAGTCTTTTAGTAGTAAATACTAAAATTAATATTTAACAAAAAATTCTGTTCCACTACAATTGAAAATTAACATTTCTTCCTCAGAAATATCTGTTGTGGTCTTAAATATTAATAGGTTTGTTTTACCTCACCTATATTTGGGGGCCAAATTTAAACTGATTCTGCACCTACAAGGTACAAATGGTGCAGAAGACAATTCCTGTGGCAGATTAGTTTAAATGTAATTTGTATTTTATTTTAGCCACCTTTGGATGGTTTAGGAGGGTTTTGGCAGAATGTGGGGCATGAATTGGGGACAGTTTTGAAGGACAGATGGCCCAACGCCCTATTAGAGAGGAGCAAACCTCACAGGGGCACAAAGGAAGGAACTCTTTAGGTTAGGGGTGAGGAAGCTAAGGCTTGGGGTGTGGGCTCTGGGCTCCCCTTCAGCATTGGGGTGCCCACGTTGGTGCTCCAGTCCCCCCCCCTTCCCTTCTGGGGCTGGAGTGCACAAAAATCTACTAGTCTGGCCCCTTCAGGCTGTGGCGTGCAAAGGGAATGAGGGGCGTGTTTCTCCATCTCAGTCAAGGGCCAGTCAGTGAGGGGGTTTTGTGGTTGCTTCTCAGTCGCGTGCACTCCCATGGGTTTTTCTGTGGGTCAGTGACCCCCGACGCAGAAAAGGTTCCCCCGCCCCAGCTGCAAGCCTGCAGAACGACGAGTCTCCACACACATACTAAGCAGCGTGGGCGGGGCGGGGGCCCGAGCTGCAGAGCTGGGACGAAGGGGCGAGCGACCCTCTCGCTGTCTTGCGGGAATCAGTCCGGGGGCCGATGCCCAAGGTCACGCGCCGCGGGGAGGAGGTTCGGACAGGGAATCCAGGCACGAGGCGCTCCCTTGCGGCGGGCGGGCGCGTAGAGTGGGGGACGTTCGCACTGCAGCAGGCCACTAAGGTGCATTCCAGATGGGGAACCACCTGGGACAAGGTTCCGTCCACTCCCACTTCCGGGTTCCCTCCTCGCGCATGCGCCTACCTTCACGTCGTCTCATCCCCAGGGCCATCTTCCCGGGCTGTACCATTTCGTGCATGTGGTGGGAGGGAAAGGTCTATAGACACTTCGTTTGTATCTGCTGCTTCTGAACCCTGTAAGACCAGTTACGACTCCTTACTCAGGGCTATCGACCCTCCCAACAGTTCTCTCTCTGGGTCCTCGCTCCTAATCTATTCCAATCTCTCCTATAGGAGGAGAGTGGTACGCTCCACTCCCACCTGAGCAAGTGGCCGGGCGATACCATCCCCGCGCAGTGCGGGGGAGGAGCTAGGGGTATTGTTGGGTCAGGGGGTGCGTGCGGCTCGCGGCTAGAGCAGGTTCGTCACAGCCGCCGCGCACAGGGAGGGGCGCTGCCCGGAGCGCAGTGTCCCCTCAGGCCTCGCCGGGCGCGGCTGCTCCCCTTCCGCCCCCTCCCCGCTACCGCAGCATTGGTAGCGCCCGGCTCCAGCTGACCGGCCTGGAATCCCGGCTCCGAGCCCCGAACCCTCCACTCCCAGCGCCCCCCCCCGCCCCGGGCCCGCCGGAGACTCGGCCCCGCCATGGGAGACGCCGGCAGCGAGCGCAGCAAGGCGCCCAGCCTGCCGCCCCGCTGCCCCTGCGGATTCTGGGGGTGAGTGCGGCCCGGGGAGGGGGCCGGGCGGGGTGAGGCCCGGGGAGGAGGCCGGGCCGGGGTCTGGGCTGCACCCTGGGGCTGGGCAGCAGCAGAGCCGGGCCTAGTGACTAGGCCAGGGGCGGCCAGCCAGGCGAGGCCGGGATTCCTAGCTTCCCTTAGGGCCTGTCATCAAAGGCTGAGCCACCCCTCCCCCACCCCAGGCCGGGCTTGCTCCAGGGCAGGGGCATGTGCCCCCTGCTGTGCTGAGGGGGCTTCCCTCGTCAGAGGCGTCCCTCCCCCAGGCCTGTGACTATTTGCTGCATCACAGGGCGGGGGTTGGGGGGGCTGGCTCCTGATTTGCAAGTACAAGTGGCTAAGTCAGGGTGTGGAGAGCAGCTAACTCATCCCCAAATATCCCTTCTGTATTCTTGTCTCTAGCCATTGACTAGTTCTCAGACGTGTGTGTGTGTGTGTGTGTGTGGGGGGGGGGGGGTTCCATCTGTGTGTGTCTGTGGCTTATATTATTATTTATCACACTACTATTATTTCAAAATCTATTATTAGTTAGTCATTTTCATATCCCCTACTCATAACTCCGGTCATCTGAAGAAGTGGGCTGTGCCCACGAAAGCTATGATACCATCTACATGTTTTGTTAGTCTATAAAGTGCTACCAGACCATTTGTTGTTTTTTTCTGTAACAGACTAACTTGGTTACCCCCTGTATCTCTCCATGTGTTACCTAACCCCCTTCTTTCTCCCTCTTCCCAGCCATTCCAGCTTTGACTTCCTCCATGGCCTGTAGGAATTGTAGAGAATTTCCTGAAAGGATCAGCTTCAATGTCTCTTTACCCGTTCCTCCAAAGATTCAATTTAATTACAATTAACACACTTTGTTTCTGAGCCCCCAGGTGGAATAATAGTGGCCAATGTGCCCTCTAATTTTTTCCATCCGTGTATGGAATACATTTTATTTGCACAAAGACATGTTCAGAGTGCATCTCCAGAAGAAACACATGCTCCTGGCTGTGGACACTCTGCTAATCATCTGTGCAACATTTGAATTGCTCTTGGGTGATCACCCAAGCACTCAGTTTGCAGGGAACACTGATAGTGGCATCAGCAAAGTAGCAGGCAGGCAACTTTCTTAACTTCTGGACCTTTATTTCAGCCTTTCATAGCTACGGCTAGCTTGTAATTTTCAGTCTGTCATGTAAGTCTGTAAAGAACCATATACACCTATGTGTGTATAAATAGCAATATAAAAAGCGTCCTTTTGCCACTTTACAAAACCTTCTGAGCAGACTTCTTGCCAGGGATGGTCTTTAGCATCTGCTGGCTCATCCTGTTTTAAAGGAAGAAGACATTCTTCTGTTCTGGAAGAAAAAACATAACAGTCCATTTGATTCTTCTTTCACTCTCCAGAGCCATGCTGGTAAAGAAAGACATTTCCATTAAGTTTTTAGTGAATGATTGTGGCATGTGGAATATGCTGGCTGAGACATGAAAATAAAGTGTCTTGAATATGTGTGGTGATGTAGATTCCTGAATTTCTGATTTATGGAGTGTTCAAAAGGTATGTTACTAGGTAGAATTGTGGGAGTCCATCTGCAATTTATACCTGTCTATGAATGCACCACCTTGGGATTTATAATAATACAATTTAAAGTACTCTGGAGAAGTGGAAGGATGCGTATTAAGAGTGATTTAGTTGTTTTACATATATTTTCTAAACTTTTTTCTAAATTAAATCCCATTTGTGAGTTATGGTACAAGTCTGAACTTTGACAGTTACGATGGTCCCATTGGGAGTGATCTCACAAGACACACTGTAAATATACAGCAAATTGTTACTTTATTTTTGATTTACTAGGCCCACGAATTAATGTCTCACGCTTACAAGAATATGGGTGAAAAGCAGTTGTTGCTACTTCCACTATGGTGCGATGGCTTCTGTGGCCAGTGGTGATGTACAAAGGCAGTGAAGGAACTACACAGTCTTCAGCTTGCAGCTCTTTTCATGCTGAACTTTGTCGTGAGTTCAGTGCCCTGGGTTTGTGACATCAGTGCATTGTCATGGGAGGAAAAAAAATCTGGTGCCTCAAATGGTGGCTGTGAAGAAAGTGGCCATTTAAAGATGCTGCCTATATGCATAGTTCTTGATGGACATGGCTTCCCATTACACAAGCAGTCCCCCATCACATTTGGCCTTAATTTGTCCCCTTTTGAAGGGATGTCATTCCAGCAGTGATTCCTCCATGATAGGGATGCAGTACATTACCAGTAGAACTGTATGAAAAAGTTCACCTTCTGTACCTGCAGTGTTGATAAACAGGGCTTCATATGCATGTTCTGCAACCTGGCACCTTTCCAGAATACAAATATATTTTATCAGAGAGAAAAGAAAAAGATTGTTTGACCAGATACTTAGATTTTTCATCATTGAGTTACAGGGGCTGACATTGTTAAATAGCCTGTAGAGATGACTTGTGTACATGTGCACTTGTGTACTTGCTTTTGGTCCTAGCACTCAAATCTGTCTTTAGGTGAACTAAGATGTCAGCATTTCTTAAAAAAAAAAGTGATGTATAAAGGGCACGAAGGGGGAGGATTGTGTGTTCAGTTATTTTCTGATTTCTAAAGACACGCTTGCCCTCATTTTCTTTGTCCTTGTTTACACAAGAAATGGTTTGCCTGTAGAGCTGGACTGCTGTAGCTATGCTGGCAAATCCTCCTACTGGAAATGTAGTTTATCATCACCCTTGGGAGTAATCCTGATCCTTTGACTCTAGACAGGAATTAAGTGGTGCACATCTGACTCTCTTCTCTCAGAAACCTCTTGCTGTTCCCCTGTTCCCCAAGATTTCTCTCAAGGCTGCCTTTGATCCTGAATCACACTTGTGGTAGAAAAATGTGTGCTAAGCCAGTTGACTAGCCTGGACTCCAGGAAGTTGGTCTTGGCTAAATATGAAAAGGTTGTAATTATTTTTATGTGAAACAGAAGTTCTGTATAATGTTGAGTACTTCGCCTGAAGTGAATGTTCACTGCAGTAATCCACAAACATTTGGCATCATAAGACAAATGTGAAAAGGAGCATTGCAAATAAAATAGGCCTTTCATGTAAAAATACTTACTTTTGGTCCTAGCACTCAAATCAAGTGATGTTTAAAGGGTATGAGGGTGGAAGATTGCATGTTCAGTTGTTTTCTGATGCATCAAAGTAAAAAAGTTTTTAAAAACATTTGCTTGTTTTTCTATTAGAAATTTAGGTCCTATGTAGGCTGGAGGATTTTGTGGTGATGTAGTGGATGTTTACTGGAAAGCTAGCAAAATGGTGATAGAAGAGACTGAATTGAACAACTAAAAGGGGGAGAAGGGAATGTTTTTGTCATACTGTGTAAAATTTTCTTTAAACATCTGTTCCAAAGTAAATGATTAACGTCAGTTATAAATGTTAATCTTTGTGAAAGCTCACAGTAACAATTATTGAAAACTCTTAAAGGCCTTCTAGCTAGATCAGACTTGATATTCCTTTTTTCTAAGGGGTGGAAAATACCTGTCAGTTCCCGTTATGTATCATTTAAAAAAGCAAATGAAAGGAACAGAACAGTCTGTTTAAATCTTTTAGTACATATGGACCGTTGGGTTGAACATTACATTTTAATGAATCATTTCAGCTATCCAAACACTCTAAATCAGGAAACCTAGTCTATATTAATCTCTTAGAACTTCATTTACAAAAGAATTTATGCTTCCAGTATCTTAGAAATACCTTCACTATTAGGGATGTTAAAATTAGATTAATCAACTCATCAAATACTCGATGGAATTTACATTGACTATTCAATGAGTCGATAAGGGCTCTTGCCTTTTAAAATGTAGTAGGAGCCTGCCCGCCCAGTTCTTGCTACATTTCAAAGATTGAAATACCACATGGAGCCTGGGTCCAGTGAGAGGACTCAGGGGTCCCCCACTGGTCCCAGGCTTCACCTGGTGCTTCCGCTTTGAAATGTACAAGAGCCCCAGCGGGAACTCTTCTACATTTCAAAGGTGAAATGCTGCCCGTGCGCCCCTTCCCCCACCCATAGAGCTGGAGTTTTTAAGCTGGCTCCCCCCGCACCTGCTTCTCCCCCTCCTCCTGCTTGCTGCCTTTATCAGAAAGAAGCAGCAGGGGGAAGTGACTAGTGTGTTGACTATCCGATAAGCTTTTGCTTATTGTATAGTCGATTAGTTAGTCGATTAGTCGCTTACATCCCTATTCACTATCCTTTCCTCTCATTATTATAGCATGTCACAAGCTTTGAAGAGTTTCAGGCACTGTGAACATTGTAATGTACTTTCAATTGTACTGAACTTAGGTTCTTTCAGTTGCTTTTTGGAATCACAAGCTACAGTTTGCATTGGTTATTTTTTTTAGGGCTGAAGATTTCAGATATGTATATCGAGTGCCATGAGTATTCTAATCAAGCCATTTTGCTTGCTACCTATAGCAGTTTTGCTCAAATTTTAGGACCCAATCCTGTTATGAATATCATGTGGGCAGATACCCATTGACTTTGGAAGGGCTTTCTCTACATAAGCTCAGGGATTCATTTGTGCTGACTTTGTTGCAGGACTGGGACCTTTGTGATTAAGCAGTCACATGCATGGGTTAATATTACAAGCTAAAATACCAGTTGGACTTCTAGGAGTTGATTGAAGGGAAGGGAGAGGTCAAAGAAATAACTTGACAGCTCTGTGCTCTGGTGAATGTTTATTTTCTTTAAAACCCATAGCAACACTGAAGGTATTCTATGCAATGCCTTAAAACCAGAAAGAGAAGCAAATATGCATAAAACAAATGAATTCCATTCTCGAAATGGTGGCTGCCAGCAGGAAGTTGATTGAAAACACAGTATGATTAGTTTCATCCCATCTTATTTCTGGCAACTTAGAAGATGTTGCACTCCGCTAAAGCTGACGGTAATACTGCTTTGAGAACAGGCCAGCAGGGATTCTGTGTAGGATGTTACCACTG